TAACCAAGACTACGGTTAACCCATGTAAATAAAAAATAACCAAGCTAGGGTTAACCCATGTAAACAAAAAATAACCAAGCTAGGTTAACCCATGTAAACAAAAATAACCAAGCTAGGTTAACCCATGTAAACAAAAAATAACCAAGCTAGGTTAACCCATGTAAACAAAAAATAACCAAGCTAGGTTAACCCATGTAAACAAAAATAACCAAGCTGGGTTAACCCATGTAAACGTAGAAAAGAGAGGAAGTGACAATCTGACACCACATATTTATTACCAAACCCACACATGTGTGTGTGTACATGTTTAATACAACCTGTAAAACTCAACTTGGACTTGTGCCTACATAATGGAAGGTACAAAGTTCAGAAGTTTGTTTAGAGGTAGATCATGTACACACTGCATCTGAAGAAGCTTGAAGTTCAGAAGATGTACCAAATAATTCATTTCAGTTTGTTTACATGAGTTAACTCAGCTTGGTTATTTTTTAATTTTGTTTACATGGGTTAACCTAGATTGGTTATTTATATTTTTTGTTTACATGGGTTAACCTAGCTTGGTTATTTTTATTTACATGGGTTAACTTAGCTTGGTTATTTTTGTTTACATGGGTTAACCTAGCTTGGTTATTTTTGTTTACATGGGTTAACCTAGCTTGGTTATTTTTGTTTACATGGGTTAACCTAGCTTGGTTATTTTTCATTTCATAGCATTAATACACGATCAGAACTAGATGATTATAATGATATTTCACTTGTATACATGGCAGGTAGTTTTTGTTTATTAAAGCAGGTGTTATTTCTACTTAAATAATCTGCAATCAAACTGCAGTGAGTGATATACAAAACACCTAATGAGCATCCTTGCAGTGCCAGTTTAGCTATTTCGCACTGGTACATTTTCCTGCATAGAAATATCTAGAAGATGGTTGACTAACCTAGGCTTAACTTATGATATGTTAACCAAGACACAGATGTGAAATATTGCATTGGTATTATTAACAAGAATGTCATTAAAAAGTACGTAAAGTCTAAGAAAAACTGAAAGAGGTCTCTTTGTTTAAAAACATTATTTCTTTATACCTTTCTTTTTTCAGTAAAAATGACATTATTTCATTACATATTCTAATAGAATAAAAGAGAGATTGTACTGTTTTTATGAAGTTAAAAAGATTTCGTTATAGTATTTGTTCGACTGACAAATAAATCAGAAAATAAACTTTCCAACTACAAGGAACATTTTAATATTAATGTCACCCAAACTTTTGTAAAATCAATAAAATGATTACTTTATGCTAGATGGATGTATAATTGAGAGCAGTGCATAAAAAACGCACTGTATCTATTATGTTTTTAATAACAAGATCCACAGTTTACTGCTGTTGGTAGATAGACAGTGAAAGTATTTTTCAACATTAATACAGGAGCACTATTTTAATTAATTTTGAATAATGATTTTAAAGAAGGATGCAGAGCATCTTGGAAGAGAAGTCTCTTTCACAAAGTATATTGTTTGGTATTATCTAAATCAGAAATTTTAATACTAAGCAGTGTAAATACTTTCATGGATACTTTACCTTATGCATACTTCCTTGTTTATTACAGACAGAGTAACATGAACTGATCTGTTTGTGTTGTGGAACTTTGTACTTCACAAATATAGCTGCTTCTAGAACACTCACTCCAGTTTTGTATGTGTGTTATCTATTTTAATATTGATGCTACGAAA